TATATATATATATATATATATATATATATATATATATATATATGTGTGTGTGTGTGTGTGTGTGTGTGTGTGTGTGTGTGTGTGTGTAAAGGTGTTTTAAACCCTTCCCCACACTCTTGCAATGTCCTAACTATGTTTCTAAACTCGAAACGTACTAAAAAAGCACAGAAATCATGATTTCCCTCTGTGCCTCTGCTGCTCTCAACCACCTGCAAGTATTGTTCTTGGCCACGCCCACTTCTCCGCTCTGCACAAGAACAGCTGATCAGCTGCAGCAGGAAGTTTATCCTGCAGTGTGGGCTGCACAAAGGTGCAGCAGGTGTTATATAATTTAAAATAATTTATTTTAAATAAAAATGTCATGCCGATCGTGCAGCTCATCCATCAGTCAGCCAATTGTGTGTCATGTCCAATCTTATTTTGAAAAACAGCGATAGAGCGAGTTAGCAAAAAACGAACCGCGAAGTAGCGAAGGACTACTGTACTAAAATTGCTGTTCCGTACCACCACCACCATATTTTTTTGCTCAAGGGCACTAATGAAATACTCTGCATTTCTAACACCATTTTTTTTAAACGTGATCTTTTTTACTAATGTTTTATGGACTAATAGCTGTGAATTCATTAACAAGTATTAAATTTGTTACTATAAAAGGGGGACTGGTGGTGCAGAGGTTAAAGAAGGCGAGCCTGTGATTGGGAGGTTGCAGGTTTGAATCCCCAGAACAACAAAACATTTTGATGAAAAAGATAAAGCACCCATACCTACCTCCACCCTCATTTGCTCCACCTAGGACCTTGAGCAAGGCCCTTGACAGAACTCCCCAAGAGGTTTGGACTTGTTTTTACCTTGCTGGATGAGAGGCGCAGGGTCAGTATGGGGTTTTGGTTCTCGTGCACTTGAATCTCCTCAATGATGAACATCTCTCCATCAAAGTTAACAGCCTTTTGAACAAACCCATTTTCTGTTCCGGAGACAAAACAGGAAGAGCGAAAAATAAGCACACAGCAACAACTGTGCACAAATGTGAGTCTTAATCATTCAGCTAATGAAAATCAAAAATGATGCCAAACTGTTCAGTCAACAGTTTAGTGTGTTTCAGATCCAGTGCACCTGTTCCAATGAACATAACGTTATATTTCTCTCCGTCAAGAGCTGACATGCGGTCCACGACGATCCGAGTGAACAAAGCTCCCTTCTTGAGCAGCAGTGGCGCCCCCGTCAGTGGACGGACAGCCTCGTCCATCAGGGGACGGTCTCTGATGAACTGCAGGGTCTTGTCTGGAAGTTCCAGAGAGCGATTCATCCCCAGTTCACGCGCCACATTGTTGATGCACTGGAAAGAACACACTGCAGGTTAGACTTTAAAACATCTTTGTGTGTGTTTGTGTAACTTTCTGAGCTTCGCTTTAGACGCACCGCTCCGGGCCTGGGCACTGGCACCTCCCCGGTGTACATCACCCACTTGACATGGGATGTCTCCACAGCAGCAGGGGTCTTAAACTTGCCCTCATTAAAAACATCTCGAATAGAAGACACGGTGTAGGCACAGACTGCAGACATCTGGGACATACCCCTGGAACACAAACAACAGAGATCTAGTAGAGCTGTATGAATGGGTAAATGCACAGATTGTAGTGTAAAGCGCTTTGAGTGTCTTCAGAAGATAGAAAAGTGATATATAAGTACAGTCCATTTACATTGAGTCGAGCAAGCAAAAAAAAATTTACAACCCCAGTTCTGACAAACTTGGGACATCGTGTCAACAAAAACAGAATGTAATGATTTGCAAACTTATTGACCCATTCCACAAAGTTCAGTCAGGTCATCTGGATGGTTTTTTTGTTGTTGTTGTTGAGACGTTTTGTCCTTCATCCAAAGGACTTCATCAGTTCGAGGAGACACAACAAGCCCAGTCCCACAAGCAACACACCCACACTAGTGGACCAACCAGTTTGCTGGTGATAAGAAGGTTTCTGGGGCTCACCCTCTCCCCTGTCGACTCCTCTGTTCATGCTCAATAATCCAGGTAGAAAATCCAACAAATTTCAGTCAGGTCATCTGGACATTTTTTTTTAGACGTTTTGTCCTTCATCCAAAGGACTTCATCAGTCCTTTGTTTGATTCTTTACCTGGATTAGTGAGCATAAACTTTGATGTTTTGAATCACTTTGGCTATGGCTGCCTCAGAGGAGTCGACGGGGGGAGAGGGCGGGCCCCAGAAACCTTCTTATCACCAGCAAACTGGTTGGTCCACTATGTGGGTGTGCTGCTTGTGGGACTGGGCTTGTTGTGTCTCCTCGGACTGATGAAGTCCTTTGGATGAAGGACAAAACGTCTCAAGAAAAGAAAAAAAAAAAAAAAGAAACCGTCCAGATGACCTGACTGAACTTTGTTAGATTTTTTTTTTACCTGGATTAATAATAATAATAATGTCATCACAATGTCAGCACTGTATGTTTCCATACAATGGCGAAATTAGTCTCTGCATTTAACCCATCCACCACCAGGTTAAACATGAACTTTGATGTTATTAACCCACTGAAATTTCCAAATGAAATAAGTTTCATTCATGAAAAATTGGGAAAACTTTCAATATCCCATCATTTACAGTTCATAACATTATCAACAGAGTTAAGAATCTTTAGAAATCTCTGAGCTCAAAGGAAAAGGCTGAAAGTCAACACTGGCAGGTCGTGACCTTCAGGCCCTCAGGTGGCACTGAATTACAAACGAGTCTGATTTTGTTCTGGACATCACAGCATGGGCTCAGGAACAATGACAAAGATCATCTATAAACACAGTTCACCCCGTCACCCACAAATGCTGATTAAAGCTCTATCCTGCAAAGAAAAAGCCACATGTGATCACCACCAGAAAACCCTGCAGTCTTCTCTTTGCCAAAACTCTTTTAAAATGAACTGAGGCAACGTGAAAAAAACAGCTCTGTGGTCAGACAGATCAAAATGTGAAATTCCTTTTGGACCCTGGCTGCTATATACTGTACATACTAATGAGAACGGGAACCATCCGGCCTGTCATCAGCCCACTGTTCAAAAGCCTGCCTCACTGATGGTGTGGGTGTGCATTAGTGCCTCTGATATGGTCATCTTACACAACTGGAAAAGCACCATTAATGTAGATAAGTATATACAGGTTTAAGAACAACATATACACCCATCCAGAAGATGTTTACTAAAAGGAAGGCCTTGAATAAATCAGCAAGACAATGCTAAACCACATACAGCATCCATTAAACAGCATGGATTTTTAGAGGAGTCCAAACACTGAGCTGGCCTGTCTGCAGTCCAGACCTCTGACCAACTGAACATGTCGATGCATCGTGAAACAAAAAGTCCTGCAAAGACCCAGGACTGCTGAACAGTGAAAATCCTACATCAGACAAGCATAAGACAACGTTCAATTCCAAGAACGTCAGCAGCTGGTCTCCTCAGTTCCTCGTTGTTTACAGACTGTTGTTAAAAGAAGAGGGGATGCTTCACAGTGGTAAACATTCCCAGTCCCCACTTCTGTGTTGCTGCCATTAAGTCTACTACAGTAGTCCCTCGTTTATCGCGGGGGATACGTGTAGACCTATGAAAAGTGAAAAACCGCGAAGTAGGAATAATAGTACAAGTAGTAAGTAGTTGTTTATTTTAGTACTTAAATATATACTAAGGTGATTTAAACCCTCCCCACACTCTTCAATATTCTAAACAATGTTTTTAAACTCTAAACGCTCTAAAAGAGCACAGAATGTCATGATTTCAGCTCCCTGCCTCTGCTGCTGTCAGCCACCTGCAAGCCCTCTTGACTTTGTTATTATTTCCTTGACTTTTGACACAACGTGATCTGATTTAGTATTTCATTGTTTCTAATTATGTTTTCGGTTTTATATTTTTATTCCATGTGCTGTAAATATATCTCGCCACTTTTTATTTGATGTTGTGATATTTTTGTTAAGCACTTTGGTAACAGTTTCTGTTTTAAATGTGCTCTATAAATAAATCTGACTTGACTTGACCCCGCCCACTTTGCACATTCTGCACGGAGATCAGCTGATCAGCTGCAGCAAGAAGTTTATCCTGCAGTGTGGGTTGCACAAAGATGCAGCAGGTGCTAAATACTTTAAAATAATGTATTTTAAATAAAAATTTCATGCACTAATGCATCAATCAGTCATTATGTCTAGTGTCTTGTCTTATTTTGAAAAACCACGATAGAGCGAGTCCACGATAAACGAACCGCGAAGTAGCGAGGGACTACTGTATTACCTACATTTTTACCTAAAAATTTTTGATTTTTTTATTGTAAGCGTGATATGTTTATAATCCACTGAGAGTAAAATATGGGTTTATGACATTTGCAAATCATTGTATTCAGTATTTACACTTTACCAAACAAAATGGGGGTTGTGCTGTAAACTGTGTAAACTCTACAGCCACGCTCAAGCCAGAAGTACCGGTACAGAATGTGATGGTAAACACTTACGACTGAGGTGTGAAGATGGTGTAGAAGATACTCTTCCTCCAGTCTTTGTGTTTCAGCAAGAAGACATCTTGAACAATGGGGGGCAGGCTGGGTTCAGGGAAGGAACAATCCAGACGAGCTTTCAGGAACGACGTCCATTTCCTCTGCAGCGTACGTTGGCCGCCCATATCTCCCTACAGACAGACAGGACGCACTGAGATGCACGCTCGCTTCAGCAACACCAGACCTGCGTTAGACAAGTCAAGCGGTGTTTTGAATGTTTCCGTCTTCACCTTGCAGACACGAGCCACCCGTGACACCACTACTTTGCTGTAGAAGTCGTACTCCATGGCGTTCTCGCTGAAGAAGAAGTAAATCTTGTCATCGTCCCCGTCGGCACTGTCCACACTCTCACCCACAAAGTCCATGTAGACGAAGTATGGCTCTTAAACCCCACATTAGAAAAGAAATCCCAGTAAAGCACAGGAAAAATGAATAAACGTTGATTTTCATGTACTGATTATGTTGCAGACGAGGAACTCACCACTGAGCCAGGAGTTTTTGAACTCCGTGCGCAGAGCCAAGTTTGAGCTGCGCAGAATCACAGGCTCTGAGCCCAAGAAGTTGATAGATGTAGCAGAGTACAGGTCATTTCCTGCTGAGCAGGAACAAAAGAGAAATATTTTATTCTTATCAAGTTGATACAATAAATTTCAGCCTACTGACTTTAAAGTTGATAAATCAGTATTCAGGACATGGCAGAGCAGGCAGCACTTGGTCTGTAATATTAGGGAATAAATCTTGTGCCAAATGAAATGTTCACACAGATCCTTCCTCTCTCAGCTCTGTTTGAACATCCAGGACTTTTTGTGAGCTTTGAGCTTTCTTCCCTTTGGCAGCAACACAGACACTCACCAACCATGAGGGAGGAGTATCTCTGAAAGGGATCAAAAGGACACTTCCCTTTTCCCTCCTCCTGCCTTCCCTTCAGCGTCAGCTGCCCGTTAACAAACGTCTGGAGGAAACAATCACAGCACAGGACACCAAAATGAGAGCAAAAATGGTAAAACTGGGTTGTTTTATTCAGAAGCAGTGTTGAAAAGTCTAAACTCAATGAGTGAAACTCAAAAAATGTAAAAGAAGTATATCAAATTAATTTAATGAGCCTAAACCAGTTTTTAATCCAAATACACTATGAAATATCAGTGTTCGACCATCGGGGTCCTCAAGGCTCTTATTTTCTAATTTCTCTTATTTTATGTAAAGTCCACTGAGCAAGAAACTTTTTCCTTCATGAAAATATTGTAATCCAATCAGATTCTTTTGAATCTGTGTCTCCAGGCAGAAACCTGCTTGAAGCTCTCACTGGTTAGGACTTTATTGTCAGGAGAGACGGTACAGCTCAGTCAGCGGCTCTGCAGGATGAGTTCGTTTAATGCACGACAGGAACATTAACCAATCAATGTTGACGTAGAGGAGGTGGGACCAAAACACGCAGCAGCACGCCTTCAGGTTTCCACTTGTTTCGACTACGTGAACGTTTGTGACGCAAACTGTAAATTTGAAAATCCACACTGGAACTGTAGGTGCTCTAAAAATTGAGGAAAAATATCCCATTTAGATTAGTGTTGATAATTTTCTATATTACAGCTTTATTTTGGTTTCATTACATGATTAAATTTTACAGAAATTGAAAATTTTGTGGATTGTTAAATTTTAGTTTGGCTTACTGAAATTACATTTTGTACAAGGGACTGTGTGTGCCGCTTAGCCTTCTGGGTAATCTTGGGACAGAAATGGGTGGACTTTTTCAGCTTATGTGTTTAGATGGGTTGTCCCTGTTGGTTGTTCTGTTTAGTGTTAGGTTGGCTTTAATGTTTACATTTTTATTAGTTACTGTAACAAAGAAAAGACACCATAAGTCAGATGTTGTGCTCGATGTATAAAAAGAGGGAAACCCGTGTCTCGTTGTGACATTTAGCCACTGATTATTGTGAACTGAATGCAAAAGATGAGTATTAATCAAAGTTTGTCCTTCTCATCAGCTACAACTGATTTAGTTTTAGTCGGTGTGATTCAAGATGACCACAACAGATAATCATTCTTAGCAAACAAACACTTCTATAACCTGTACAAGTTTTACAAATATTGAGCTACAATTTGTAGTAGTAGTTGATGGAAGTCATCCCTAACACATACTTTGAGCACTAAGAGATTATGCAAGATCTTTATTTAAAAACCTTAGCATGCAAGGTGGTAGGCAATTTGCATTACTTCACTAGTTTCATTTAATTTTTTACACATCTTCTTTTGGCTGTTCCTTCTTCAGTAGTGCCCTTTTCCTCCTCCATCTCACTCTGTCCTCTGTCTTCACTCCAACTACCTCCATGTCCTCTCTAACTGCATCCATATGTCTCCTCTTTGGTTTTTTCCAGGCAGCTGCATTTCTAACATCCTTCTACCCACTGTCCTTTCTCTGGACATGTCCAAACTAGGGGTGCACTGATAAATCGGCCGGCCGATACTTACATGAGAAACCAATTTTACCCATTTTTTATAGTTTTAACAACAATTGTCTGAACTTCATTTATATTTCAGAGCACTGCCTCATGGGTAGTTAAAACAAGTTTGCATTGTTTCTGGGATATTGTTCAGGGGTATGTTTTTCAATAAAATAAGATTGGAAAATTGAAGGTGCATTGTGACCTTATAACACCTGACAGTGTCGCTTATAAAACAAATTCGGTATCGGACAAAATCGGAATCGGCAGGTCAGACATTTTAGAAATCTGTGATCAGCCAGAAAACTGCAATCGGTGCACCCCTAGTCCAAACCATCTCAGTCTGGCTGCTCTAACTTTAGCTCCCAGTTGTTCAACCTGTGCTGTACCTCTGATGATCTTATTCCTAATCTTATCCAGCCTTGTCACTCCTAAGGAGAACCTCAACATCTTCATTTCTGTCACTTCCAGTTCTTTCTCCTGTTTTTTTGGTCAGTGCCACTGTCTCCTGACCATACAACATAGCTGGTCTCACAACTGTCTTATAAACTTTTCTTTTGACCTTTGTTGAAAACCTTTTGTCACAAATCACTCCTGTAACTTTTCCCCATCCACTCCATCCTGCCTGGACTCTCTTTTTCACTTCTTTGCCACACTCCCCATTTTCCTGGACAGTGGACCCAGAGTACTTGAAGTCCTGCACCTTTGTGACTTCTGCTCCTTGTAGCCTCACTGTTCCACCAGCCTCCCTCTCATTCACACACATGTACTCTGTCTTACTACGGCTGACTTTCATTCCTCTTCTTTCAAGTGAATGGTATGGTATGGTATAAAGTTTATTCATTTAAAAAAGTACAAAACAATTCCATAACAATATAAAAAAAAATACAAAAGATTTAAAATGAAAGGCAGCAGAAAGAAAAAAAAATCTTATTATATCTGCCCCTTTTTTCAAACAATTAGTTCAATCATAATAATTTTCAAGTAACAGAACAAAATGAATAACTTTAATTAACTCTAATTTTTCTAACTCTAATACAAAAAACACACACTAAGCCACTTCATATATATTTTTTAACAATTCAGCTTTGATCTTTTTCTTAAATGTACACATTGACTTGGCATTTTTCACATCACTCTCTAGAACATTCCACAATCCAACTCCTTGGATTGAGGTAGACCTTCCCTTCAGACTAGTTCTGAATTGTGGTTTGACAAATATCTCTATCTCCTTAAGATTATAACAACTTTGTCTTTTAACAAAATTTCTTTGGATATTTAACGGTAATGTGTTATTTTGAGCCCTATACATAACTGATAAAATACTGTAATCTACCAAATCATGGAACTTCAATAACTTCAGTTGATAAAATAATGTGCTTGATGCTTTCTGGTGATAATTCTTACAGCTCTTTTCTGTAAAATAAAAATAGACTTTGTAAATGTTTTACATGCTTTCCCCCAAACATCAATGCAATAGATTAAATGTGGAACAATGATTGTGTTATACAACACGTACAGAGCTTTATCATTTAATAATTCCCTGACTTTGTATAGTACTGCAATAGATTTAGATATTTTTGTTCTTACAGAATTTATGTGATTTTTCCATGTTAGCTGTTCAACAATGATTACACCCAAAAATTTCATCTCATTAACTCTACAAATCTCAACACCCTCAATTTTAAATGGATCAACAACAGTTCTCTTTTTGTTACTAAATATCATGTATTTAGTTTTATCTAAATTTAATGATAATTTATGAAGTTTAAACCAAGTTTGTATTTTATCAAACTTTGTCTTCATCAATTCCAATATCCGTTTTACATCTTTACCCCCCCCCCCCCCCAAAAAAAATGTGGTGTCATCTGCAAAAAGGACACATTTGAGGAGTCCTGATACATTCACTAAGTCATTCACATATAAAATAAATAACTTTGGTCCAAGTACAGAGCCTTGAGGAACTCCACACGTGATATTGCACAGGTCAGATCTTACACCATTTATTTGTACAAACTGTTTCCTATCTTTTAAATAGCTAGACACCCAGTGTAATGCTGGTCCTCTTATACCATATTTATTTAATTTTTCAAGGAGAATAGTGTGGTCAATAGTATCGAATGCTTTTTTTAAATCAACAAAAATACTAACACAATACTGTTTTTGATCGACAGCAGTAGTTATTTGTTCTATTATTTCCATGAGAGCCATTGATGTAGAGTTTTTTGCTCTAAACCCATACTGACTGCTACTTAGAATGTTTTGTTTAGTAATAAATTTATCTAATCTGGTCAAAAATATTTTTTCTAGAATTTTTGAGAACTGTGGTAATAAGGATATTGGTCTATAATTATTGAACACACATTTATCACCATTTTTAAAGAGAGGAACTACCTTTGCTACTTTCATATTGTCTGGAAATATTCCTTTTGAAAATGATAAATTACAAATATATGTAAACGGCTCGATAACATAACTCATTATGTCCTTTACAAACATCATATCCATGTCCACCCAGTCTTTTGATCTCTTATCTGTAAGATTTTTTACAACATTCATTATTTCTTCTTTGTCAGTTCCATTAAGAAAAATACTGTTGTCACAACCTATAACTGAATGGTTCACATTATTGTCCACTTTTGGTATTTTAGCTGCAAGGCTTGATCCAATGTTCACAAAATAATGATTAAATCCATTTACAATTTCATTTTCATCATGGATTTCATCGTCATCCTTCAAAAAATATTGTGAAATACCTGTTTTTGCTTTATGACTTTTCAGAACACTATTTATTACTCGCCATGTAGCTTTCATATCACCATTACTTTTATTTAATAAATCACTACAATATTCCTTCTTGTGTTTCCTTATAATCCCTACTAATTTATTTTTACACTTCTTCTCTTCAGCCTCTTGTGTTCTCAATTTCAAGAAACATGTATACAAATAATTCTTTTTTTTACAAGCATTTCTCAACCCTTTCGTCATCCATGGTTGGTCAACAACATTTCTCTTTGTACAATTATTTTGCACACAATTCTTTTGTAGTGAACCAGATGACCTCAAATATACCAGATGGACAGAGACTGTTATTTTCATTGATCTGAATAAGTCTGAACCATCTGATGAACTTTCTTTCTTGAATTAATCAAGCAGAAAAGACAATCCTCTATAATCATTACTGTCTTACAAATGTTTTGATAATCAAATTGTGTTAGTTCACTCAATGCTTTACAGGTTGAAAAGAACTACTAATTTTTATTTTACATAAACAGTAAGTAATGATTTTTGTTCCTCATTCAGAGAAGAAATCACCTGAATATGCCTTTCTTGATTTTCTGTCTGAAATGAGCAAGCTGTCGTAAGTATGTTAAAGGTTGGTTTTCGGTCAACTAAAATGTTTACCGAGGAAAATGTCATGTTTTACTATTTGAAAAGATTACAAAGTGTGAGACTCCACGAAGTCTGCTGTTGCTGCAATAATCTTTTCTGTATGTTGTAAACAATCCTTGAC